CAGAGCAACACCCAGAGGCCCCTCCCCCACTCATCCCTAGCGGTTAATCAGCTTGGACACTCATGGCTTGCGGCCGCCAGGCGTGGAGCAGGCCATGGATCCCCTTGGATACCTGGAAGCAGCTGCGTGGGGCACTGGGTGTGGTAGTCTGCCCGGTCAGGCAGCCTGAGGCTGGGGTGGCCAATCGAGCAAGCTGGTTCTCTGCCATCGCCCAAGCCCATCTCAGCCTGTGTGTGTCTTGTGGCAGGGAGTCCTGTATGTTCCAGGCAGCCACCCTTCCCTTTCTCTGCCAACCCCCAGTCGGCACTGAATGAGAAGCGGAGGAAATGCTTGCTGGCTCTTTCTCCAAAAGGCTTGCCATTTAACGCCCCTCCAGGCCAGCTCCCCAGGCCCTTGCTGCTGGCCCACGAGGCACTCAAACCCCCTGGCGCTCCCTCCCTCTCTCAGAGGCTCCCTTCCGCTTTCCGGGCAGAGAGGCCGGGCGCTGCTCACGGGGCTTTTCTCTGGCACGCTGCTTTGGGAATGAGGGAGTTGGGGGTATCACGCCCTTCCCCAGCCTAGTGTCCTCCGTAGAATCGTGGAGGTGTGGAGCTGAAAGGACCCTCAAGGATCACCTAGTCCGCCCTCAGCCGGGTGCAGGAAAGGCGATTCACCCACCCGGCCCCTCCTTCGAGCCTCCAGAGATGGAGAACCTGCAGCCTCCACAGGAGGCTCGTTTCCCTGTTGGGCAGATCTTACCATCTGAGAATTTTCTTTGCATTTAAATGACACCTGGGTGGCCGCCACTTATATTGCACCTGTTGCATTTGTTTAGACTACAGTTCCCATAACCATGGACTGCAGGGCCCCCAGCTTCCATCACATCTGGGGGTTGCAAGATTGGGGAAGGCTGGGTGTAGCAGAGAAGACCCCCCCCCCCGAAATCTCCTGTGTGTCCTGAGTTCCCTGGAAGTCTCAGGCACATCATGTTCGCCATCTGCCACCAGCCCTGGGATGCTAGGCTGGCCTACCTTCAAGGGTGGGTGTGAAGGGAAGAGAGGAAACCCGCCTTGCCGCAGAACGTTCCAGCTGCTTCTGGGCACAGCAGGCTGTCCTGCCGGGTGCAGCTCCGTCACGGCGACCTGTAGGTGAGAAAAGGCACTGAACTTCCTAAATAATCTGCATCAGCTTAAAAACCATGGGGTTTGAGGAGGCAGTGCACAGAGAACCTTCTCAAATTCAAACTCAAATAACTTTATTACAGCCATAAGGCCGGAAAACCGCGACATAAAACCTAAAAAGTAAGTGAACATAAATATATATCATTTTACAAGTAGCCTGTGTCAGTATAAGATATGTAATGAGGAATAAGAATGAAATATAGAATCAAAAAGTACAGGGATAAAAGTCCAATAATTTGAATTTGAGATCAGCCTCCCTTTTCACTTCAGGTTCTCTCTCTTGCTATCTGTCTCCTGAGCACGATCACCCAGCTCTGTTGTGGGATTCCTGGAAAATGTGTAAGAGGTACTTTTTGCCCTGAAGACCTTGTAGGAGGAGAGCCACGTTAGTCTGCGGAAGCCAAACATCAGGAGGAGTCTGGTAGCGCCTTTTCCAGCTGACAGCTGTATAAAATGTGCCACTTGGAAAGGGCGCTACCAAGGAACGCTCCCGATTGTTTTGCACTGAAGAAGCTCAGCCTCCGTTAGCATTTCCTCTGACGGTCGTCGCAGCCAAGCCAACCTCTTCCATCCGCACGATCTGTTCCTAAGGTATACTGCATCCTCCCATGGAGGCTCTGTTGCACCTCTAGCAGAGGGAGAGAGCTAGGGCCTTTTCAGCCTCGGCAGAGGGCCGGCTCGGCCCCGTCGCTGAGTCGCGCTCTGTCTTCCCCCCCGCAGGTGCAATACCCAGGATTACATCTGGCACAAAGGGATCCGCTGCGAATCGATCATCACCGACTTCCAGGTCATGTGTGTGGCCGTGGGCTCGGCGGCCCTCGTGGTCTTGCTGCTGTTCATGATGACCGTGTTCTTTGCCAAGAAGCTTTACTTGCTCAAGACGGAAAACATCAAGCTACGCAAGAGCAAGTGAGTGGGAAGGAGGGAGGAGGGGTCCCCCTCTGGCAAAAATCCCCCCCAGACGGCTCTCCAGAGCAGCTGCCTTTCCCCATGTGATGCAGCTCCCATCATCCCCAGCTAGCCTGATCAGCGGGGTCCAGATGTCTGATATTAATAACCCCCCTTTTCTTCCCCTTTGGCCTATTGGAGCTCTGTTGAGTGAACGCAGAATTATTCAGAGCAGTGTTTCTCCACCTTGGGTGCTCTAAGATGCGTGGACTTCAACTCCCAGAATTCCCCAGCCGTGCTGGCTG